TGGACACACTGTTCAGGCACAGAGAGGAGCTGTCCAAAATCAAACCCTTTGCCCCAAAACTTAACAAGGTGTGGCGGTAGGAGAAAGCAACCTGACCAACCATGTGTGATGACTTGGATTATTTGTTCGCTGCTCTGGCCACTTTGTGCGTGGTGGATACTTCTCTGGGATGGGCGACTTCCACTGACACGTCGTCTTGTTTCATTTCCATCCCGGTCCAGCTGTGTACATCCGTTTCAGCTCCACAGATGGAGCTTGGATCTGGGTGCGTGGGTTGGGGGAGTGGGAGTGCGAACATTAAAGGGTAAAGCTAGACTTGAGAAGCACAGCATTTGTTCTAGGCCCTCTGGAATCTAAGCAGAGGGAAGATTTTGGTTAACTGATAAGCTGCTTGCCTCTATTAAAACACATGTCCAGCCTGAGAACGTTACTGTAAGGTTGGCTGATGCAGATCTTGTTTAGCCTGATAGGTGAAACTAGTTGGATAGTTGAGCGTTTGTCCCACACTTGCAGATTGCTTTTAAAAAGAGAGGAAAATTTCAGCTGTTGACTCTGTCCTTTAAAGTGCAGTGATCTTTTAAAATTAACCTGCTTGTTCTAGACAAATTTGTCTTGTTGCTGTATTGTGTCACTATCACCACATTATCCATGAAAGAGAATGACATGTGCTTCATTTGTTTCAAAATGCTATGTAGCATAAATCACCATAAATCTGAGCACAGGGTCACACAAGCTACTCCCTGTTCTGCTTCCTGTATGACCTTGGGCAAGTTACTTCACTTTTCTGTGTCTGTGTTCCCATCTATAGTGGGAGTAACACTTTACCTCCACAGAGATGTTGAGACTAGATTAGTGAGATGTTTCAGCGTTCTGAGGTCCTCTGCAAGCAGGCACTACAAAAAGGTAAAGTATTTCTCTAGCAAGTTGATGCTCAGTCAGTGTAACTACAGGACTACATCACTTTGCTCTGAAGTCACTTTCTTAACATCTGAGAGTCCCTAGACTTCTGACATTCTAAGTAATGGGCCTGAAGTGTGCAAATAGATGCCCTATCATTGCACTGTCTCTCCCATTACTTCTCATTGTATTGGCAGTTTGCTTCTCACCGCTCCTTGCTTTCCTCTCCTGTAGTTTTTAACTGTTTTACAAATCCTGCAACAGAACATGGGGCTATCTTGTTTAAAATTTGAATAAAGCAGGTTTTTCCTGTGACATCTTTCAAAAATACAATTTAAAAAAGCCACCAGAAACTAGGGTCTTGTCTACACTGGCAATTTACAGCGCTGCAACTTTCTCGTTCAGGGGTGTGACACACACACCCCGAGCGCAGCAAGGTTCAGCGCTGTAAAGTGGCAGTGTAGACAGTGCACCAGCGCTGGGAGCTACGCCCCTCGTGGAGGTGGGTTTTTTTTAGAGCGCTGGGAGAGCTCTCTCCCAGCACTCTGCCACGGACACACAAGCCACATTAAAGCTCTGCCGCAGCAGTGCTTTAGCGTTGCCAGTGTAGACTAGCCCTAAGCGTGTGCCTGCCCCATGATTCTGATATTGGAGCCTGCGTAAGCATCGCTTTTTGTAGTGTCATGAGAACAGAACTCTGTGTGCTCCATAGTCGACTCTGTGTGTCTGATGCTCTGTAGATCACCTGAGCTAGGCGTACACATCCAGGGGCTCTGATGACCATGGTTGCTTCAAAATTGCCAGGAGGAATGGAAGAGGGCGGAAATGGGAGTTACTTTTGATAGATGGTTGGTTAGGTTGATTAGAGGGCTATGAACCCAATGTAAGGTAGGTGGTAGAATTGTGACATCTAATGCAGTTCTGCTAACGGCATATTTATTTGTATGGAGTAATCCTGTGGGTAAAATGCTGGGAAAGTTGTCTTGTGTTGCCCTATTTAAAAAAAACCAAAACGCATCCCTGTGGCATGGCTGTCCCAGCTATGGAAGAGAACCCTGTTGTGAGAGCTTTATTTTACAATATCTGACACTGGCATTTTTGGTATGTACGTCTTTAAATCTACATCTCCTCTTATGTTTTTAGGCCTGGAGCACTGTCCTCTAGACCCCTCCTGAGACTTGGTTGGAAGCTTTCTGAAATGGTCCAGGGAACCAGACATGGGTGGTCCGGGGAACCAGCTGGGGGGGGCTAGTCCCCAGTCCTGTCCCTACCACCCGAGGCTCCACGCCCGGAGCATGGGGAGGGTGGGCGGCACGGCCCTGGCCCCAGAGCACCAAGAGGGCAGCCGCAGCCCGGGAGGGCGGGTGGCACGTGGCCGAACACCCCCGTTCCCCCAGGCCTGGAGCGACGGGAGGGTGGGCGGCATGCAACTGAACCCCCTCTGCCCCCCCCCCGAGCAACACTGAGCAGAAGCAGGAGGGGGGAGCCTGGAGGCAGAGCATGGGCAGCGCCACACCTGGCTGTTTGGGGAGGCACAGCCTTCCCCAGCCTATGGTACTCGCCGCCCATGAAACCAGGGCTGTTGTTGCTCTGGATCAGTGGTTCTCAATCTGTCGCCCAATCAGTACACAGCTACGGCCCGTGTGACATCCTCAGGGCCATACAGGGAGTATATATGTTGTGTGGATGCAGCCCACTTAACACACACACACAGAGCTCCATATGCGGCCCCCAGTGGTAAATAGGTTGAGAATCACTGCTCTGGATTATAGGCAAACTTTTAAATTTTCTAAACTTTTCCACGTGGAGAACTCCATTATTTTGTGTGTGTGTGTGTCCATGAAAGTAAGAGAGACTAATAAAGTGATGTGAGCCAATCAAGCAACGTGCAACACCGGGGAGCACAATTCCCACTGCATAGCTTTGCTAGTGCACATCAGTGTGAACTGCAACACCTAGAGAAGGAGTGGAGGAAGGATGATTCAGGCATTAGCCTAGGACTTGGGAGATCTCGGTTCAAGTCCCTGCTCCTCCATAGAGTCTCTGTGTGCCTCACTGATCCATCTGTACAATGAGGATAGCAGCATTTCTCTGCCTCGCCGGGGATGTTGTGAGGATAATGTGTTGAGGGTTGTGATGTGCTCAGGTAGTACAGTAGTTTGGGGTCATAAAAGTAATTTGGCTAGAGAATTGAGGTGCTAGCGAACAAGAGCCCACCACATTCATGTTCAGTATATTAGCATGACCAGAGGTGAGATTTTTAACTCTGAACTCTAGAGATGGAAGCTATTCTATTCACCACCTAGCTCCCCTGAACATCATGGCAATCCCAAGCGCACACCATTGGTACTGTATTTTTATGCACTTCATAAGGCAGGGGTCGGCAACCTTTCAGAAGTGGTGTGCTGAGTCTTCATTTATTAACTCTAATTTAAGGTTTCGCATGCCAGTAATACATCTTAACATTTTTAGAAGGTCTCTTTCTACAAGTCTATAACATATAACGAAACTATTGTTGTATGTAAAGTAAATAAGGTTTTTAAAATGTTTAAGAAGCTTCATTTAAAATTAAATTAAATTCAGAGCCCCCTGGACCGGTGGCCAGTACCCAGGCAGTGTGAGTGCCACTGAAAATCAGCTCGCGTGCCGCCTTCGGCACCTGTGCCATAGGTTGCCTATCCCTGTCATAAGCCATTCTAGTTATCAACATCTGGTCAGTTTCTTAGCTGATCATTAAACCAGTGGAATTACACCAATGAACACCAGCGGAGAATCTGGCCCACCAACTGCTTTGAGCCCCAGGCCTCAATGTAAATTGATGGAATCCCCTGAGTATTATTCCACTGGAGTCTAAACATCACCTTCTTTTAGATCTTCAATTCGGACGCTGAGAAACTTAGGTATTGATAGATACGTGATAATGGATCAGTAGACACGCCAAAAATGTGTAACCCCCTGTCAGTGTCCTGGAACAAAGAAAAATACAAGCTCCCTTGCTCATCAGCAAGAGTTAACCCCTATAGTCCTAGACTTGTGAGTATTCTGCATTGGCCTAAATAAATCAGTTAGTCACATTGCTGCTGCATTGAACTGCAGCAAAAAGCAATACTTCGAAATACAGGAGGCGCAAACTGGCAGCTCTCGAATTTAACCTACTATGAATGCTGTGATTCATGCTGGAAGTCATGGGAGAGAGCTGATGGTGATGGGACACTGCTGAAGTGGGCAACAATGTTGCTTTACCATGAGATCCTTTCCTATAGAGTAAGACCTTAGCCACGTGAGTCAGTTGCACCTGTTTAACTGAAGATGCGATTTTTAAACTGGTTTACTTAAAACAGGGGTTCTCAAATGTTTGTACTGGCGACCCCGTTCACATAGCAAGCCTCTGAGTGCGACCTCCCTTACAAATTAAAAACACATTTTATGTATTTAACACCATTATAAATGCTGGAGGAAAAGTGGGGTTTGGGGTGGAGGCTGACAGCTCGCGACCCCCCCATGTAATAACCTCGTGACCCCCTCAGGGGTCCCGACCCCCAGTTTGAGAACCCCTGACTTAAAACCAGTGAAAACTCCTGTGGTGGACACTTACTTCAGTTTAGCCTAAATCAATTAGGAACTGATTCAAGCGACACCAAAATAAACCACTCAAATGGAGGTAAGTGTCCACACTGGTTGTAAGTAAACCAGTTTAAAATCGCCCCTTTAGTTTAACAGGTGCAACTGACTCATGTAAACAAGGCCTAACATCTTAGCTTGTTGTGAACTCCTTTAACCGGTTTGTAGCCAGCCCCTGCACTAACTAGAGGTAGGTGGACATGGTGGTTTTCTCAGTATTGCTGGAATAGAACGTCTGTGGGGTTCACATTGGCACCACTTGATGCCAACTCCTGATTAATTTGGTGCTATGTTCCCTGTGTAGATTGACTAGGCATTCACGTAATGCTGGCATCCCCACCAAGCATACCAACCCATACTGAGCTGCACTGCTGAATGGAGATTTGTCGCTTTGCACTCTTGGTGCATCTGTCAGAGCACAGTGAGCAGTTGATGCTGGAATTTATCCCTTGCTGAATATCTGTCATGCATGTCATTTACAGGTTTCTTTCCGGGGATTCGGTTGCTCTGTTCCCCAATGGCTCTGGGATTGGTTTCCCTTGTTCCGCTGCCTCGCCGTCTGTTTTTATCCCAACGCCCCCCAGCATCCTCCAGTTGACGAACCAGCAGTTCTTCAGATCCCCACGCAGGGCTTCCTCTTCCTCGCTCCCTGGACGTCTGAACAGGGCCCTCTCGCTGGGCACCATCCCTTCCCTAGCCAGGACAGGTAAGGCGTGCACCACACTTCTACACCTGATGGAAATGAAAGTATAGCTGTGTTCACACTCAAGTGGGAGTCGGTCATGGAATCCCGCCCACTGGAATGTGACTGGCCTATTGCCTAATAGACGAGTAAGTCTAGTTAGAGGTCATTGTCGTGCACCTTATGATGTTGCTTGTAAAAGTGCAAACTGAATGATGAGTGCTGGTTATTCGGAATAAATAACTGCACGCTGGTGGGCAGTGACGAATTGGGCATACACACTCTCTCTCCTTGCAGGTCTTACAAGAGGTATCTCGTAGATTCTATAGGCACAGCATTTATAGCATAGTACTTGCTTCTAAGATGGTCAGCCTGCTGGTTCGGTATAACCGATTCTTCAAGGGCAACAGAGAGCCTGTAAGCTAGCGCTCGTGTACATAAGCTAATTCTTAATGCCCGTGTGGCAGCTATTGATAAAGGTTACGTGTAAATGCTTTTCGCTGATCCTTGGATGGTTGCAGTCCCTGTAGTGCAGAAGAGTACCATACAATGCTCTGCCATGGCTGTTGCTCAAGCAGTTGATTTTAATAGTAGACAACGAACTTTGGTCTCATCACCACCTAGATAGAGCAAAGAAGCTCTTAGCTTGGTAGATGAGTAGCTGTAGGTGGAGTTCATGGAGGTGGGAAGCAGGAATAAAGACCACTGCCCCGACTGACGGACCAGCTTAATGTTTCTAGTTAGAGGTTCTCTTTGTTTTCCAGAGAGTTCCATTCCCCAGCAGTGGACTAGATTGAAAGTTATTAGTTCTCAGTATCTGTAATCACAAAAATCATGTGAGGAGAGGATCAGTCACTCAGATTTGTATTTCAAAAGTGTCACTATGTCTCCTTTAGGGCCTTTCAACCCAAAGCTCTCCATGAGCTGCAGGCACAGGGCTTGCTTTGCCCACTGCTGAAACAAAAGGCAGCGGTCGGAATATCTCAGCCCCACAGCACGGCTATCCCAGTATCAGGGATAACTGCACCCGTATTCCTCCCTCCATGGTCCACTCCAGGAGCGCCCAGTCAGGACTCAGAACTGCCATCGCCTGTCTCTGGGTAGGGACCCTGTTTCCACTGCCTTCTGACCAGGGGTTTTAAGGCTCCACAGCCCCTTGCCTTTCACTGTAATACCCCCAGCAAGCCAGACTGCCTAGTGGCCAGCGCTGATGCTTTGCTTTATTTCCGAGGGCGATGACAGGTGTGATTTACCAGTCATATAAATTGCTGTTCTAAGCAAGCACATTTATTCCTAAAGCAAAAACATCACTGAGAAAACATAATAAAAACATACCAGGAGTCACCCATCAGTCTTATGGGGCCCTAGTAGGTCAAAGTCTTCCCAACTCTTCTGCAATTGCTGGGACCCTCCCTTGGACAGAAGATCCTGCCTTATAGTCAGTGTCTGTCTCAGTAACAGGCCAGTAGCAAAGGCCGGGATGGCAGAGTCAACCTTTTTGGGATTTGAACCTGTGGACCCAGGGAATTGTGTTTGTTGCAGATCTGATCCTTAGACCATTGAACCATCCCTCCAAAGGGTGTTTGAGGTAAGCTGCAGAGAGCAACGTTAACTTGTTACCCACTGTCAGATTGAGCCTGTCTTTGAAAAGTAACTCTTGCTTAACAATCTCCTGGTTTTTTAAAGCTCCAGCTTTCCCTGACTCAGGGCTCATCTACACGAAAAATTCTGTAGTGGCCCAGCTGCACCAGGGGTTCTCCCGTCGGCCTAGGTAATGCACCTCCCCGAGAGGCAGTAGCTAGGTCAATGGGAGCATTCTCCCGTCCAACTACTGCTGTCTCCACTGGGGGTTAGGTCCGTTTAGCTATGTTGCTTAGGGGTGTGGATTTTTCACACCCTTGAGTGATGTAGCTATACCAACCCAATTTCCTAGTGTAGACCAGGTCTGAGTTTTGCTCGCCCTTTCAGACCTTCAAGTATTTAGAAGATCTCACTGGACTCTAGACTGCTCATGTATCCGTTCAGAATTCCTCAGGATGGATCTCCGTGAAATGTAAGGTTGTAAACCAGGAAGTAACCAGCTTGTTAACTTCTCTCTCCCCTAACGCAGAGTGCTCTGATAGAAGCACTGCCTCAAGACGTCTGGGTGGGCTAGATCTTCTCCTCAAAGCCTCTGGTCTCCAATTCCTAATAAAGGGGCATCCGGGTCTCTTAGGGCAGCTTAGAAAAGTTTACCCTCCACACTTGTGAAGAGAGGGAAAGATCAATCATTGAGACTTTTCTTTGGGAGCTGGATGGCAATCAATGTAGTGTGGGTCCTTGCCCTCGGTGGGAGCCCTGTTCCAACTCAGCTGTTGTGGGAGATCAAATTGCCTTTGTTCGAGGGTGGAGGGCGGAAGCAAATATTTCACCCACAGGTGGTTGTAAGATGTGTTAGAAGTATTTTTGTGGTGGGGGGAGGGAGGTAGGAAGCTTAATAAAAGTCAGAGCCTTAGAGTGGGGCATTCTCGTCCTCCTTAGCAGCAGAAGCGTAAAACACACTGCTCAAATCTGTCGTCTGGGCCAGTGTGCTGTAACTGGAGCCAGAAGAGTCTGGGGAGAACTTACGGCCATCAGCAGGGTCTTGTATTCCATATCCCGGTCCCAGACCCGCTCTGGTAGTAGTTCTGAGTGTCTCTGAGGTCTTTTAAACACCCTAACAAGTGCCCCAGCCTGTGGTCTCCATTTCAGTGTTGAGATCCAGGGTCTGTCTCGATTTAAATGTATGCTTCCCACACACCCACTCTTTTTCTGGGGTTGTTGTGGGGGTTTTTTTTAGGAACGTGTTTGGACGAGGCAGGTGAAAAGAGCTGTTGAGCTTAAATAATAATCATTACAGTTTAAATCTCTTAATGTGGGGGAGAACCAGGCTGCAAAGCGGCGCCGTTTTTTGGTTTGGTTTTTTTTTTTTTTTTATGTGAATTCAGTGCTAGTCAAAGGTACAAACTTGCTGGCTCTGCAGCTTGAAGACATCTAAAATAAGTGCAACCCAGGCAGCAATGATGCAAACTTCACCTGCACGCTGCCCATCCAGTGGGCTCAACCTTCCCCTATGGTGGTATCGTCTAAGAGTGAAAGAGCTCAGTTCTTGGGCCAATGATGGGGGGGCATGAGCTAATGACGATCGTGGTTGTGGGAAGAAGTGTAGAGCTGTCTCTGTCTTAAAGTAACTGAACAAAAAGGGCCTGAGTCACTTAGGGTATGTCTGTACTACCCGCCGGATCGGCGGGCAGCGATCGATCCAGCGGGGATCGATTTATCGCGTCTAGTCGAGTTATTCACGTAGATGAAGTTGTGTAACTTAGATCGATTTCTCCCTCTCCCCCTCCCGCCCCCCCCGGCCGCCCCCTCAGTGTAGACCAGGGCTAAGTTAGCTTATCCTAATCCGAGACTGAGGGCTTGTCTAGTTACTGCACGGCCAGGCGGGCGTGAATCTGCAGTGCACCAACTTGCTGAGCGGTAACTCGTGTAAACTAGCCCTGATTTTCCTGTTTCTCACTGGCGTACATCTGCTTGCGGGTAAGGCTGCTTTTTCTCACTACAAACGGATGGGGCAGAGGATTGGCCCATCTTTTAAGTCTGGTTTTATTGTGCACAAACACAGCCGTAGCCGCAATCCCCGAGTCTCCCGGCTTTGTACCTCTTGGCTGGGAGGGCTTCTGACAAGGGTCTGTGCAGTGCAGGGAAGATTTATAAGGCTGCTGAAAGATTCTCTCCTACCAGTGCGTTAAACCTCGGCTTAAATTGTTCTTGAAACCAGCAAGGACACGCCACTTTCCGTCCAAGGAAAGCTCTGCGGTGCCCTGTCAGTGAGTGATTATCACGGGTCAGAGGCCAAGCCACTGATGGGTTCTAGAATAACACCACAGTGCTACCAGCAGCTCTCCTGGATCCATCAGGAGCAGTTGAAAGAACAGCCGTGCAAAACCTTTCAGCAGGACGGTGGCTTTTTGACACAGCATCCTTCTTCCTAGTCCTTTACAACTGGGGACAGCAGGTGCAAATCTGCCATGCAGCTGTGATTTTCCCCCCCGCTCCACCATCCTTGTGTGGTCCATACTTTTGCATGGCTTTGCAGCTCCAGGCTGAGGCACAGGGGCTGAGCAGTGCATGGAAGCTTGCCCTGTCTGCCCTGCATCTCTTTGGCTCATAACAGGGCTTTCAGTCTCCAAACCCATTTGGCACCTCTAACAATATTTATTTAAATAGCTTTGTCCCAAAGGACAATGTAAGGCCTGAGGTTTTGGGTATAACGCTTGGCTCTCCTGGTTCTAGCTGCTTTAGCTGATCTTTACCATAGGTTCCTCGCTGCACATCCAGAGACGCAGATGGAAATTCGTGTGATTCTGTCACTAGAATGTGAATCTAGAGAGAGAGAGAGAGTTGCGTGCTCAGTTGTGCAGGAGAAGGTGGAATCTTTTCTCTACCTTCCATCCTTTAAAATAGTGACAAGCAAATGCATGGCAGGAAATGTGAACCTAATGGCCCTTGGCTCCCTGGTGAGGGAGCCACATGCAAGCGATTGCTGGGAGCTGGTATTGATACTTTCTAAAATAGCACTGAGCCAGCAACACATTTAAGGTGCTGCGGGGGTCCAGATCCAAAACTTCATGCCAAATCAGGGGACTCTCCAAGCACAGGGCTTAGAACCTAAAGATCCTGGCTCGGTTTGTCCTTTTGCAATCATAGAGAACTGGAAGGATCTTTTGAGCAGAGGTGGGATCCTGAAAGTAATGAGCACCAAAATAAAGTCCTGTAAGTTACTGGCAAATGGTGCTGTGCAGCAAAGAGTGGTAGAATCTTCTTCTGGTGTCAGTTAAGCCACAAGTCTCCTTGCCAGCTTCTTTCTTTTTCCTCTTCCTGCTGCCTTCTCAGACCCTCTCCCCAGCTCCTCGTCAGGCCAGCAGCTTCGTGTTCATTTAAGATACCGAGGAACTCAAACAAGGATAAAGATCCTCTTGGGAAGCACCAAGGGTCACACATTTGTCCATAGCTGTAGAGCAAAGGAGCATGCTGAGTGCCGCACCTGCAGAGGCTGTCTGGGGAACATGGTGTGGGGGGGCACAAGTTCTCCTCTGTCGCTGCTGTGGGACTCTCAACCTGCCTCCTACCCAGAACTTTTTTGAAGTTTGCTGGCTGCCTCTGTTCCCCTGCAGCTAGGCAGAGAAGGGATCCCTCAGGGGGGACTTGTGCACTCTGTGTGCTTAATTTGCCTTTGCACTTCTCAGGCATTCAGTTGGTGCTGGCTCCCTCTACAGCATTGAACATTTCCTGCTCAGGCAGGAGAACTGAACCATAAAAGGCAGGGGATGCAACTCAGAAATAGTTACTTAGCAGCCTTGGTCACCAGAAACGCTCTGACATAATGCATCCGTTGCTCAGACTCTCTGGGAAGCTGAGACATATGGTGTAGTAATAATACCGTATGTTTCTTTCTCTCTCTGATCCCAAATAGTTTAACCCTAGTTTTGCCAGTCAATGAAATGCAGCCACTTCTAGGGGGAAAGGTGACAGTTGTTCAACACCACACTGCACAGCAGGGCAGGGAATGAGAAGGGGGAACATTGAATTGAAACTGGAGGGCTCTTCACTTGGCAGAGGGCAGGACCCTGGGGTGACACTCTATAGGGTCTTTGTCACGGAGTGTGAGGGAGACAGGGCCCTGCACCCCCAACTTCCTGTGATTCACTGTGACTCTCAGCCAGCTAGTAGAACAGAAGGTTTATTAGACGACAGGAACACAGTCCAAAACAGAGCTTGTAGTTATAGAAAACAGTATCCCTCAGTCAGGTCCATCTTGGGACCTGAGGCCAGACCCCGGTTCTGGGCCTCCCTCTCTTTCCCCAGCCAGCTCCAAACTGAAACCCCCTCCAGCCATCTCACCCAGCCACACACCCCAGCTCCTCCTCCCGCATTTGTCAAGTTTCCTGGGCAGAAGGTGTCACCTGGCCCCAACCCCCTCCTGGGCTCAGGTTACGTGCTAAGGTATCCTCCCTCAAGAGAAGTCACACCCTGATATCCCACCACCATCCAGCACCAATGCAGACAGTACCAGTAAAACTCCCACACAACATTCCCAGGTCAATACTCCCCACTCCCTACTCCGTCACAGTCTTAAATGGGCTTTTGGTCTGAGCCTTATCTTGTGGGCAGGGCAGACCCACCGGGGGGGGAGTGGGGCAATTTCCCCCAGGCTCCGCAGGGGCCCCGTGAGCCGTGGCCTGGTGGCGGTCCAGGTCTTCGGCAGTGGGGGGCCTTTCAGTCGCTCCGGGTCTTCGGCAGCATTTCGGCGGCGGGGGCCCCTTCAGTGCTGCCGAAGACGCAGAGCGACTGAAGGGCCGCCGAAATGCCGCCGAAGACCCGGACTGCTGCCGGGTGAATACAAGCGCCGCAGCTCCCCCATTTTGCCCCAGTTCCCCTGAATCTTCTGGGCGGCCCTGGGGCGGGGTGCTACGGGAACCAGTCAGGAGGGGCTTTAACAAGGATTTAAGGGAAGGAAAGAAAGGAGGCGCCGAGAGGAAGCAACAGATGGGGTCAGGATCATGCGGCCTGTGGAACTAGAGCTAGAAGTGGCTTAGCCCTAGTCCATGCAGCTTTCCTTTGGGGTCCTCCGCAAGGGCAATGCGCCAGCTGTCACTTACACGGGGTCCCTGAATGCCACCCGGCCGCCTGGCTCCACGTAATTTAGTTGAGTTTGTCTTCAGCAGCGTGCCCTCTGGTCACCCTCGGTGGGGGGGGAAGCCAGCTCTGTAGAAAGAGGGGTGGACTGGATGACGGAACGCTCAAACCCCTGTGCACGTCAGGCCTGTGTCCCCTTTGCCACAGTGTGACAGCTTGGGGCTATGAAGAGCCCCTTCTAGCAGAGCACGCAACAGCCCTGGGAGGAAGCTGCTGGAGCGGGCACGTTTACCCTCTACTACAGCCTCCCCTTGTCACCTGTGTTAGTGAGGCTGGACAATACAGGTGCTTTTCTTGGTGCTTGCTACAGTATTTAGCACCTGTGCTGAGTTTCTTTGGTTTGCTTTTTAGATTCTGGCTACTTGTTCAGTGGAAGCCGCCCGGCGTCCCAGGGATCTCAGTCCAAGGAGTCGCCTGCATCAGGTAAGGGCGAGAACTGGCAGTGCCGAGGCTCCCAGGGATTGAAATGATTTGCTAAAACATACGGTAGAAGGTTAATCCTATTTCTTCCCCATCTCTTCCCTCCTGCCCACTTTCCAATGAAAGGTCAGAGTAATCGTTAGTAAGATTGCAGTAGCGCCTGGTAGCCTGAACTGAGACTCAGACCCTCATCACGCTGTACTTCCACACAGTAAGGCAACCCCTGCCCGGAAAAGCTTACAATTAAGTAGACAAGATAGACCTAGGAAGGGTTACTTCCCCATTCTGTAGATCAGGCCTGGAGCGGTTATGTGGCTTACCCAATGGGCTACAGCATCTGCAGTAGAATCAAGAGCTGAACCAAATCTCCAGTGTCCAGTGCAGTGCTTTAAACACAAGACCAGCCTTCCTTGGATTTGGACATTAACATGACATGACATTAACATGATGCCTGTTGAGTGGGCGAGGGTCAGAGTGACTTCCAAACACTATTATTTTTCCAGATCATACCGCTCCAAAGGTCTCTGCAGTGCAACTCCACTGCTAAAGTCCTTGCCCGTTCCCTCACCCACCAAAGTCAGGATCACGGTTTGCAGGTGTAGTGATGCATCAGCAGTGCTACAGCTACGAGTCCTCTTCATCGCCCTTTATAAAACCTTATTGCAAATGGCTTCATAACAGGTATCCAATTGGAATAAAAAATGGGGTGGGAAATCTAGTATTTCAGACACACGCACACACCCCTTTTAAAGTCTAAATTTAGTGCCAGAGAGAGCCCTGCAGGCTCTAGGCAGCTGCCTGGGCAGCAGCAGTGGAAGTAGGTTGCATTTCAGCCCTGATCTGGTGGGCAACACCTCAAAGCTAAGAGGGAAATGTACTCTCCATGCCCGTTCAGTCCTTGGCCTCTTCACAGAGACTGGCCAGTTCCAATGGTTTTGGTTGCCCACTGGGGTGTGGTCTGAGACTTCTGCTCTTGCTTGGGATGTTACACGCACCACTGGACCTTGAATTGGCTTAGTCACTCAGTGGCAGTAAAGCATGCTGCCATGTAAGAGATCAGGTTCTCTATTTCTTGGGCCAACAGGGATGGGGAATGCTGCAGAAGTAGCATCATCCACCCTTGAGGCAGAGAAGAACAGGAAGAGGGTGCATGTGTGGGCTGGAGTGCTTTAGCCCTGCAACAAGTGTATGCAGTTATGGTTACCTGGCTTTGGAGAGAGGTGAATGTTATGTAGGGCCACTGGGGATGAGTCAGGCATGGGAAGAGGAGGAAGAACTGAAGAGTAAAGGGTAAAAGCTACTGTGGGTATCCCCAGGCTTCACTTTCTTTTGTTAGCTGCAAAAATATTGGAAAACATTTAAAAGTTGAGATCACTCTGAATAATTTCAAGCTTTCCATCTGCAGCTCTTTTCCTCTTTCTTTAGTTTTTTTTTCCTGTCCAAGGAACTGATTATCAAACTCCTTTGCTGTGCCTGTTTGCTGCCACATCATACCGGTGACCTCTCTGTTGCACTTCTGACCCCAGACAGAACTTTTGTCCCCGTCTGGATCCCTTGCCTGTACATCCAGTTCATACTGCCCGTGTTTTAACAATCAAAACGCAGCTGCGGTCTGGGTTAATTCCTTGCCCACCCCCCTGGTGGGCTCGTCAAACAAACAGTCTCAAAGTACCTGCCAGAATCACTCCTTTAAAAATAAGCTGCATGCAAAATGTAAACTCCACTGAATGAGCCCAGCGACCAGACCCAAAGGGGCTGTCAGGCCATTACAAACTTACCTTTTCTCCCCTGTTCTAAGTGTTCTTCTCCCCTCCCCTCCAAAGTTATCCCATTGTGATGCACCAGCATGAACCATGATGTGACATCACGGTTACAGTACCAGAAATCCCAGCTGAGTCTACTCCATTGAGTTCCATGATAGATGCTGGGGTGATGGTGCAGTAGAAGTAGCTGATCTATGGCTTGGGGAACCTTAAAGGATGGAAAGGGTAAGAGTCTAGTAGTGTTTGTGCTGAATTGCCCCTATTAGCCTGGTTGGTGGCGGGGGCAGACACGACGCTGGAAGAATCACATGGTTTTTTGCATGTATTCTCCAAAGCAGCTGGGAATGGGGGAGGAAAACCTGGAAAGTTCCCTGCAGTGGAGCAAGTAACCCACCCTGCTGTGGGTCTGGTTGGTTGAAGCCTGCCTGGCAGCCTGCTTCAGGACCTATTAAGAATGGGGGTATTTGAGTGCGTTGAACCTGGGCTGCATGAGGTGAAAAGTTCAGTGAAAGGAGAGTTGACCTTCTAACCTGTTCTGTTAGGCAACAGTAAATTTAAACCATCTCCATTTAGATGGAGCGAAGTCTTGTGCCTTTTCTAACTACAGAAGTTGCACAGATCTAACACATCATTTTATAAATCAACTTAATTAAATTGCTGCAACTCTTGTGTATAGACAGAGCCTTAATGGAGTTAACTGAGGACTACTATGATATGCCTTGTTTTCCCAAGTTCCTTTGCAAAGATAGAAGTTTTTGGCTCTGCAGAGAATTACTTTTGAATTCCGACCGCCCTGATCTTACAATGTGTGTACTCAGAGTAAAGAATGGTGGTATAGGAGGTGCTCCTGTCACTCATAGCATGGCAAGGACTTTTTGAAATGAATAGGGACACATACACACCCTCCTCTCGCAGACTGGTTGGAGAACACACCTACCACATTTCCCAACCTAAATCCTCTCTCTCTGCCCCGGCGCATCTCCATTTCAGAGTACTACTCCCTGCTGTCTGGAAGCTGCGCTCCATCCCCCATCCCATCTCCAGCACCTTCGGTGGCTGGGTCCGTCACCTCCAGCTCAGGCTCCTTGCGTTACCGCCGGCCCCTCATCAGTCCTGCACGCCTGAACCTGAAAGGGCAGAAGCTGCTGCTTTTTCCATCCCAGAGTGATGCCCTGCACACGCCGACCAGCTTGGATGAGCCCACCCACCCCGACAGCAACGTCTTCGCTGCTGAGCTGACCCCGTTCCCGAAAAAGAACCTCAACGAGCGGGGAATGCATGGTACGTTCCTGACCTCTTCCCCAGAGTCCAGTCCAGTCACAGTCGGTCAGCTTGCAAGCTAAGCAGTTGGCAAAGGGAGGGGAGCCCATCAAGGAAAACCCAAGTGGTGCTGATGGTTTAGTAGCTGAGAGTCCATATTGGATCCAGTGGCCCTTTGTGTCATTAAGGGGCCACTGTACTGCTTGAGGCCCTGTCCTTCAGATTAGAGGTGAAACCAAGATCTTCTCCACTTGTCATTTAAGATCCCATTATTATTTATTTTTTATTATTTGGATTATCATAGATGCTTTCACATGATTATGGGTGTTAGCCCAATAGTCCTGACCACGTTCTAGCTTGGATAATTACGTTCTGACTTCCGAAATTCATCCAGCCATTGCAGTTGTGCTAGGATTGTTTGTTTCACACTGATGATTTATGCCAAAGAGCTCCTGGATTTGGCTTTTGTCTTCGCTTCCAGTCCTAACCTCTTGTGCAGCGTTGCTCTGCAATGTTTCATCATCCACTTCTGGTGACAGGTTTATCATTTCCATTACATCTGTTTTTTTCTCATGGTGCCTCTTCCTCTCCTCTCACAGATATGAGGTCAGTCGTGGAAAGAGGGAGTATTTGCAGTAATAATTCCATCAAAAAAGAGGATAATTCGTCACATTCATCCACCTGTGTGGTGGACACGACCACCAAAGGAGAAGACCTAGCAGGCTGGAGAGGTGGGTGGCAGGCTCTGTGTGTGTGTGTGTGTGTGTGTGTGTGTGTACGAACTGTTGGCAATAATCAAACAAAAATCATTGGCAGAGACAGGCAAAGGCGGCAGATCTCCTCTGTGCCTTCACTACAAGGGTCTCCGTATTCCCCAGACCGTCTGAGAAACACTAGCACTACAGTGTTCTCCTGGGTCAGGAAACAGTGGGTGAGATTAGAAAGGAATGGGAAAGAATTGAATGGAGAAGTGCATCAGAGTCTTTCCTGCCTGGATTGTGGCTGGAAACATGGTTCACCAACTTCTGAGCCGAATAAAAAATGTTGGGCATGGGAAGGGAGACTTCTGTGTTTGTTGTTTCATCAAGTTTCTTAACGGCTCTTTCTGGCATCTTTTCCCCCCCCCTCCTCGCTCCTGCAAAGGTCATTTTGGTAACTCCGTTATCCGAGGTCTCCTTGCCATGAGCCTGACAGCCAATGCGATCTTCACATCAGCCTACCTCTACCAGAGCCTGCGCTGACCTGCACCGCCCCGGCTCTCTCTGGCACCACCTACTTCCCAAGAGACGCTGACACAAGAACAATTCAACCACAGCTTTGGTGTCTTATGGCCATGCCACAGGTGCATGCTGCTTATCAACCACTGCCTGCCAGGCTGCAGTGACACAGAACCAGACAGCTGCTGTTGCCACCTCTGAGCAGAACGTATCGAAGGGCTGTTGTGATGCTGGAGGTGGCCAGTGGGACACTCTTTGCAATACCCGGCTCCAGGTCAGCGAATGTCCCTTGCACCTTCTTTCTAAAGAATCGGTCTGTGGCATGAACTGGAGAAGATGTAAATGACCTGGTTGGCTTTGTCTCATCCCATCTTTCCCACCTATTAACCAACCTCAGATGGACAGTGGTGATGGAATAAGAAGAATTTGAACAAATAAGTTGGAGACAAGAGGCGGGACCTGGGCTTCGATTATTGAAATGGTTTCCTCAGCCTGGTTTCCTTGTTGGCACCTATTCTCCCTCCCTCTCACTCTCCCTGGTTCGTTCTATATGAATGGTTTTATGTCCTCCTTAAGGTTTCCGGAACCCATGGGGGGACCTAAGCTGCTCCGTGATTCTCTTGCATATTGGGGTGTTTGTGTGTGTGTGGGGGGGGGGGGGGGGGTTGGTAGTCCAATCTGCTGTCTGAGGTCTCTCTAGCCAGTTGCCTTCCTGCAATTCTGGCTCCTGGTAACAGTTCATGTCCATTGCTCAAATCAGTACAGCTGCTGTATGGCTGGGCACGTCTGCATCAGAAAAGCAAACCCACATTTTTCGCCTTGCCGGGAGGCGCCGATACTACTGTCCTAAGATGTGTCCTGATGCGCTTGCATCGTGCCTCGGGCTCCAGGCTGCAGTTCTGACTGCTGGTGTGTTTGCTGACATCGGGAGCTGCACAGCTTGTTCTTACTGTAAACCACATAAACCTACTGTTTTGGAAACTGTGTGAAGCGCGCTTCTAACAGGGAGGAGTCCGATAACATGCTCCAGTCTAGAGGCCTGGCTCCTCGTGGTTGGCGGAGGCCTGTATCATTCACTATTTAAGGTATTGCCTTCTTGGCTAAACTGCAAGTCTCTCTCAGCTAGAGATACACCAGACCTGCTAAGCATCCAGGATGTCCCTTAAAATCCATGGTGGTCGCCCAAGACTTTCAAAAATAGTTTCTAATTTTGAGTCTCAATTTTTTGGGTGTCCAATTTGAGATGCCTTAAAGGAGCCAGGTAATTTTTTTTCCCAGAGGGTGAGTGTTTAGCATCCTTGGAAATCAGGTCCTTTTTAAGGTGTCAAGTTGGGCACCCAAAATCACTAAGCATGTCTGAAAATTTTGGCCCGAGTGTCTAAATTCCTACATCCCAACCCATGGCTCAAAGGAGACCTGGCTAACACTAAGGATGAGGCCTCTGAAGCATGACAGGACTCTGCCCAGAACCTTCCTGTTGTCCTGGTCCTGTTCTTCTTTTGGTCTTGAATCCTCTTACCTCTCCCCATCTTCTGTTCTGGAACTACTGAATTGCGCTTGCCATGTTTCTTCCCCACTGCATGCCCGGCTACTGTCTACTTTGGGCATTCCTCCACCTCCTCTACACCCAACCACCGTGGTAGTCTGCTGGCAATAAGAGACTTCCCCGTTAATCTGAAAATCTCACCTCATCGTGGGGATCAGGTGCTTTAAGAAACTGCTTTTCCTTCATGTTGCTTATTGAGCCATCATGCCCTCACCTAGACAAACAAAGTGATAACCTAACACTCTAATCAATGTGCTGCCTGTCCAGGTGGGTGGCCTTTATTGCTGGTGACTCGAGCTGTGGAAAATCAAGTCTTGCTCTCCCTGTGTCACTGGCACCTATTCTTGCATTATCTTAGCAACCCTCTTCCAGCCCCTATTGATCAGCGAAGCCCTCTCTCTCGTTACATGCAGGAGACTGACTGACTGCCACAGGTATCTCTTATCAAGAGATTGTGGAAGCAGGATCTCTGACTCTACAGCTTTGTCTGGACCCTCCTTTGGTGCTCTGGCCTGGCTGTCTACCAGGCAACTCCTTCACCACGGCCTAGATTCAGATTAGCAACTGCATCAGAAATAGTGGGCCATGCAGTATGCTGATTAGTAACTCTTTGTAATTTGCATTAACGGTTTCCCATGTTGGGCTAGTCCACAACCTCACTGTGATGAGATTTGTGTCCCTTTGACGTTTCTTTGGGTTGTATTTAGTGTTCATTCAGGCAAAAAACTGGTAGTGCCCCAGCGCTGGTGAGCATTCCACAAGCTTCTCCATACGGTTGTGACACTGTAACTCACTCCTGACCCGCAACAACACGTGGTATCCTGGTCATGGCCCCTTGTCCTGACTTTCGGCATGCCCACATGCTCCTAAGCATAGACTGCATGCCATAGACTACGGTGGCCTTGTCTGTCTTCTTATGATAGATGTGCACTGTGACTTTGCTTATGCCACGAATTTCGTTTCACTTCTCACCTCCCAGTCTGTGCTGCATTTACCCACCGCCACATCTAGCACACGGCCCCACTTCACATGGCTTTTATTTGTCCCCACCAAACTCCAGTGCTGGATTTGCCCCTTTCTAGCATTTCTTCTTTGTTCCCAGCACCCACGGCTTCATACGCTCCCAGCCCCTCCTTTCTCCCTTTTGCACATTTCTTGTTTCAGGCTTAATTCCATTTCTGAATCTGCTGCCGGTTGGGCTCCTGGCCAAGCATTTAGGTGACCCTGTCTGAAGCTGTTTAAAGACTTTTTGGATGTTATCACTTAAGAGGAAAATCACAAGCCCTTTCAATCTGGTGCTAGAACAAGGCGGGAGCGGTGCTATTGCTGATGCAAAGCCTTCACTGTTGTTAGTGTGCGTGCATGTGTGTGTACATGTGTATATAAATGTTTGAAGAGTTTCTTCATTTTGAAAGATCTGAGCCCATGTTTGTCACTATATTGTCAGCCTTAATCCAGCTACCGGACACTGTCCCCATCTTGCTGCTGCTGCTGTTTCTATATAATGCTGGTTTGGAGGAATCAAAAAAAAAAAAAAACCTGGTTCCCCGGTCAAAATCTTTGTGCATGAATTGCTGGTGGCATGGGTCTTCGTACAATATTGTTCAGGGATGGAATTTTATTTTTCTAATTGTTTTTGCTGTAAAAGCCTTTGAGGGGTGGGGATGGATGTAAACTTTCTGTACATTAAACAAGATTTGAGCTTTATTTAAATAAGGTGAAGGTTGACTTAGAGGTGGGGCATAAGTGAACTCTTACCAAAAGGAACCTCAGCCTTGCTGCTGAAGGATCACCCTCTCTCATCCCCCATCCTCCCTTAAAGATGCACACATCCTTCCTCTCTCTGCCCAGATTTATTATGCATGTCCCAAGACCCTGGACAGTCTTCCCATGATTCTGTCAGCTCTGAATTAAGAGTATCTTGGATTCCCAATGCTACTTTTCCAGAGCGTGGCTGTATCGGCGGGTGTGATGTATATTGTTAAGGGAGTGGAGAGAGTTTGAAGGACAAGTTGTCATATCCTATAATAGCCCAGACCTAGACGTAAGCATTCCTGGCACATAAGCAGGCTGAACTCACTGTAGTTCAGTCCGCTTACTCGGTGGCAAATTTTGGCCTGTGAATGTCCAAATCCCACTCCCTATTCCTGGGTGACAGTAACATTGTGAAACATTGCCGAACTAGTTGGGGGTCTCTAAAGGGATGCAGCTGGGAGCCTGTGCTGCCTCTGGATATCTCTGGATACTGCTATATTTCCCAGCCACCCTTCCTGGAAACATCCTAGTCTTAACTTCTATCCTGGATGTCTGTAAGAATATCAGAAAGTACCTATTTGGTCAGTGCAAGGAAGCTGTTTCCACAAACGCTGCCTCCAGAAGTGACTATCAAATCCTCTGTGTCCTTGGATGGGTGGGGAGGGGTTTGAGGTACCTGCTGGTAGAAGTAGGTACTTGGGGAGGGTGGGGAATGATAAAGAGGAGTCCTAAACCTTATCTCCTACTAAAGAAATGTTGTATGTTATCTGTATGCTTGTTTTGGGCTCTAACGCTGTACAGTTTAGTTACATTGTGCTCCAGTTATGGGGAACTCTGTCCCCAGGAGGTTTTTAGTTCATGCTCTGTGTTTAAAGAGGATTATTTTTCTTTAAAAAACAAAAGAAAAAACAAAACAAAAAAACCCCGAAATTATAAAATTCACTTAAATGTGTCTTTTATTTGTGTGTGTGTGTGTGTGTGTGTGTGTGTGTGTACATACACGTGTGGGGGGAGGGGGAGACCGCAGGTGTGAGCGCATGTGTACCTTGCAATCAAGCTGTGATCTCAAAGCTACACAGAGTTAGCAGACAACTCACGGCAATGCAAGCTGCCCCCATTCAGTTCCCCACCAATGAGATGCAACCCTAGCCTTTAAGGTGAGTGGGAAACTTGATCGTCTTGGCCGTTGAATTCTCTCTCTTCCATTGAGACTACCAATCAGGGTGTCAGCTGTGAATCAGGATTTTGTGATGTGGACAGGTATCCATTAGAAATTAACTTGAGACCCACCAACAGGCACTATGTCAGCCACTGACCTGCCACCGAGCTGGTGGTAACTTTCATTTCTAGTTTGCTAGAACATCAGTAGTGAGAGAGAGAGAGGGTCTGTTCCCCATTATCAGTCCTTTAATTGTCTAGACTCCTCTCTGATGGACGTATCTGTTACATTCATTAGCACAGGAGATGTGTTCAATAAGGTGTTCTAGAAAAATTAGGCACTTCCCCTTTCAGTGCTTTCTTATTGATGATGTGTGTCCATCAAAGAAGCATTTTTCAAATTCTCCTTTACTGTTTGGGATTCCCGCTGCCTACCCATAGGAAATGGACCAGAATGCCTTTTTAATGGCGAGAGTTTGTTCCTGCTAGCTGTGTATGGTCCCCTATTTTTTCTCCATTATCAGTCCGGCCACCCAGTGGTAAGTAACTAGCCTATGATCCCAGTACTAGTCTCACACTCCAGCTAGGTAGCTGGGATGCACTATGCAGGTTGGGTTTCCCTGTGCCAAATACAATGCAACTTAAGCATAGAAAAATGAGACTGGGGAATAGATCCTGACATAACCGCCTAGCACAGTGGGGTCTCAGCATTGATGGGAGCCTTTGGACGCTATTGCAAACTACGTAGTCGTTATAAATACTGGCGTAATGGGAAACTGCTTTATAATTCTACTATCTAATGTCTTGATTTCATAGATGTATTCGTTTTAAAATGTCTTTGGCGCCTGATTTTTAATTTAGAGGAAGTAAGTAAAAATGTGGCTATTTGTGATACCTGTCTTGGTGGCAGCCCCACATGGTAATACCGCAGAGCTGCATTGGTGTGTAAGATCAGGCCACTGCTCCCTGTGCAGGCTGGGGCTCGGGAAGGATGACTTTCAGCTGGCTGGGTGGGATGCAAAATGCACGGCTCATGAGCACCCTCCCTTACCTCCATTTCAAAGCAATAGCGTGGAGGATGGGACATCATGACAACCCAGAATGGAAGCGCTACAACTCCAACATGGACTGAGCCAATATCTTTGCATTACTACTTGGGAGTCCTGAGCCTCCTTGTCTGGCAAGATGAGGAGAGGCCCATGATTCAGGGCAAGGAGGAGGCCAAGGTTAGAGAGCAGAGATGGGGAAGATTGAGAAAGATCATGCTTGGAAGCCTGAGCCCCTCCAGCTGAAAAGAAAGCCATTTCCCATAGCTAACTTAATGTTCTTAATTATTAACCACATTCAGTTGCCTCTTTTGGTAGACTTTGTCATTTAATTTCCTCTGAGGCAGGGACTCGTACTATTTGTAGGTAAAGCACCTGGCACCATCAGGCCTGATCTCAGCTGAGACCTCTAGGCAATACTTTGCCATTATGTCTTCCAGTGTTTCATAGGCAAAAGGCGTGTATGTGAGAGAGAGTGAAGATGCTTAGATCCTGACCCTGCAATCCTGACACATGCAAGTAGTGCTATTTACTTCCATGGCACAACTTTGCATGAGTAGGGATTAATCAAGTGAGTGCATAAGGGCCACTAGACTGAGCCTCCCGAACTCATGTGCAAGCTCTTCAGTATCAAGGTGGTCCAATTCTGACAACAGCCTTGTGATTTGTGTTCTCCTTTGGCAGGGTTTTGCTTATACTTGTCACGTAAACTTATGTTTTCATTGCTCTTAATTCTTGTTTTAATTTTGTAGTGGAAGTTAAAATATTGAAAGATCTGAGTGGGTTAAGATCTCTTTATTGTGTATGTTTTTTCCCTTCCATTTCATGCTAGAATCTACTGGATAGTTTTAATTCCTTCTCATCTCAAGGCTCAGTGTTTTGAATTATAATAATCCTAAAACAATCAAAGTTAAACAGAAAAGACCTATTTATGTCCTTAGTAATCCTCCCTGTATGTGGAGCATTGTTCCTATAATACTTCCATATCACTTTAGTCTAAGGATCTAAAAATGCTTCACAATCCCTGTTAGATAATAATACAGAAATGGAGATACAGAGCGGGTAAGAGACTCTTACCCAGTGAGGCAGTGGCAGAATTGAGAATTTGAGTTAGAAAGTTTTCCTAATATCTAACTAAATCTCCCTTGCTGCAGAATAAGCCCATTATGTCTTGTCCTACATTCAGTGGACAAGGAGAACACATGATCCCCCGTCCCCTTTATAACAGCCCTTAACATATTTGAAGACTATCAGGTCGTCCCTCCCTCAGTCTTTGTTTCTGAAGACTAAACGTGCTGAGTTTTTTTTTTTTTAACCGTTCCTCATAGGTCATGTTTTCTAAACCTTTTATCATTTTTGTTGCTCTGCTGGACTCTCTCCAACTTGTTCACATCTTTCCTAAAGTGTGGTGCCCAGAATTGGACACAGTACTCCAGCTGAGGCCTCACCAGTGCCGAGTAGAGCAGGACAACTACCTCCCATGTCTTAAAAACAACACTCCTGTTAATACATCCCAGAATATTTGCCTTTTCCGCAACTGCATCACGTTGTTCACTCTTTCAATTTGTGATCCACTATAACCTCCAGATACTTTCCAGCAGTACTACCACCGAGCCAGTTATTTCCCCTCTTTGTAGTTGTGCATTTGATTTTTTTTTTTTTCTTCCTGTCAGGTATTATTGGAATTTCATGGGTCTGTAGTTCAGAGCAGTGGTAGTAATGTAATCTCATTGCAGTGTGCAAGTACTTGAAGACCATGTAACTCAATTCCTCCTGCAGAGGAGACATGACATACCTCCATAATCCATACATACTTGCTTACAAACCAGCCTCAACAGAAACTGTTTCAAAGGAGAGCTATCATTTAGTGGTGGGGATATTTCATCCTGAATATCTTTGTGCTATTTCTGCCCTCATTACTTTATGGGCATTTTTAAGTCCGAAAGTGAAGATGAGAGATTTAGTAATCAATTAAACATAGCATGACAGCTTTGTGTGATCCACTAGCATCAAGCTATCGCTGCTTTGATACAACAAAATGACATGCAAATACGTTTCTCTTTCCTTATACAAATTGTTTCTGCAGAACAGAGCCTCTGTTGCCTAGACAAACAAGCACCAATAACTTTATTAAATTAATGGCAAAAGTAGGTAAGGTTTTGACTTGTAATTAAGACAGCTTTGGTGAGGTTAGGGGAGTGGTTAGAAGTAGCTGCAGAGGCTCTTTAAGGATCTAACGTGAACTGCTGTGTAACTAGAATCAAGACTGATCAACGCTATCCCTCTCTCATTGACTCTTATATTTTAGTGTTCGGTGAATTGTTGTGCTTGTGAATGTGACAGACTGTGATAAGAGACGGGCATAGTGTGGGCAGGAGCTGCCGTAGCCCTGTAGTATTCTGCCACTATGCCTTCTTCAGCTACAGGCCCATCCAGCAGACCTCATCCTCTACCTGATATAAAGGGAGGCTGCTGGGGTTTCTAAACTGGGGGTGTTGTAGGGTGGATAAAGAGTGCTAGATTGAGCCTGGTTGATCACTTTGACTTGTGGCCTAACTCAGATCACTTTCTATGGAGGGTTTCAAGACCCATGTGTTGATTCCTTAGAGATTACTTACTGTCAGCATATTGAGAGTTACCAAACACTTCAATTTTTTTTATCACTCCCCAATTTTCCTTACTCGCCTCTACCTCACACACCCTGCAAAACATATCTAGTATAATTGCTAATTTAATTTTCACATTTAAATTAATAGATGTATAAATCTATTAGTAAATAACTTTTATATTCACAGAGTATCATTGACCCATACTTTGTCATTCAAATATTGTTTACAGGTTTGCTCTGGTAGAAGTCTAGGACTTTTGCCACTGATTTCAATGGGAGGAGGTTCACCTGTCAACATTAAATTACTTTAAATTATTTAATATCTTTTCATAAGGGGTGTTGGCACTAATTTTAAACTTTCCTGTGGTAGACCTTAAACCATCTTGAACTCTCTTCTTGATCTTGGTTATCTGTGCTCAAGGCCTCTCCCATCAACTAACTCCCTTTTAACTGCTCCGCAACTGCACTTTCTTTTTGGGCTGAATTTATAGTCCCATCCAAGAAAGAGGCAAGGAGGTGCTGCTGTGTGTATTCTTTTAAATTTACCATCAGGCCCCTTCAATGAGACCCTAGGGGCTGGGCCCACAGCTTTCTGTACTAGAACAAAATCCTCCAGGAACAGCCTGTGTGTCCTAGAACAGGATTGAAATACCCCCAGCATTATCCAAGCTCAAGGGACTCTGTGCCCTTGGGAAGGGGCTATGCTGCAGTAGTGCTTGATACTGTTTGGTTCACTTGTTTTAGAGGCAATAGGTCCCTACACCAGTCTGCTCTCAGGGCACTGCTGGGCTTGTGCAATCTCCCAGAATGCTCTGCAGCTGGCAGCTGAGGTACTGCCTACTGGTGATTGTACCTCTGGGGCCTTACAGCTGCCCTGACTTAAGGTGATTACAGGCTGAGCCTGAATATGGTCCAGCCCTGCTGGGGGGGTGGGCTTGAAGTAGTTCCCTTACAAACAGTTCAGGGGCCTAGTGTGGACAAGGCCTTCGCTCACCCTCCTGGGGGCTCAACTCCCTCAGGGCCTGGGCCTAGGGCCAGAGGGGATGTCTCAGAGCAGGGCCCTGCTGCCCTGGGGCCACCCTGCTGCAGGCCCTTCTCCCTGGAGCTGAGGAAAACTTCGGCCCTGACCCCACTCTCTCTCCTGCAGGCAGATGGCTGAGCCCGGGTTTGCCGCCGGTGAGTTGGGGGGGGGGGGGGGGGGAGACACCAGCTTTCCTTACACCCCCTTTAACCCACTGTGCAGGCTCAGCCTGGTCCCTGCGCGGGGGGTGCAGGTGCCACCCGCAACCTCTTGACCTGCTGCTGTATTTGGGTTTTTTCCTAATGACAGCAAGGGCGTGACCTGGCCCTGACCCTAAACAAGCGCTGGCAGCCGGGGGGCGCCCCGGGAAGGACACAAGTGCAGGCAGGGAGCCGGGCGCAGACAGGAGCCGGAGCGGGGCAGCGCAGGACACCGAGTGCCCAGGCTGGCAACCAGAAGCGACCCGCGCAGCCGGGACCCCCCGTGCCCTCCTCCAGCTCCGTGCGCCCCCGGCGAGGGGCGCGGAGAGCGGGTGCCATGGAGGGCGCGGAGAGCGGGGCGCTGGGTCCCCAGCCGGAGCCGCCGGTGGGAGACGGGCAGGGCGCGGGGGAGGCGGCCCCGGAGCCCCCCGCCGCCCCCCAGAAGCCCCCTTACTCCTACGTGGCGCTGATCGCCATGGCCATCCGGGAGAGCCCGGAGCAGCGGCTGCCGCTGAGCGGCATCTACCGGTACATCGTGGGGCGCTTCCCCTACTACCGGCTGGGCCAGAAGGGCTGGCAGAACAGCGTCCGCCACAACCTCAGCCTCAACGCCTGCTTCCTCAAGGTGCCCCGGGAGCGGGGCGCCGAGCGCAAGGGCAGCGACTGGACCCTGGACCCGGCCTTCCACGACATGTTCCAGCCGGGCAACTACCGGCGCCGGCGGCGGGTCAAGAGACCCCAGCGGGCCCCCCTGGGGGCGCCCGGCCCGGCCCCCGCCTGCCTCACCTGCCAGGAGCTGCCCTACCACCTGCCCCACCAGAGCCCCCCGGCCGCCTACCTGGTGGGCAGCGCCTGGGCATCCGCGGGGCAAGCCCCGCCGAGCTGCCCCCCGTGCACGGTGCCCCTGAGCGGCTACGGCCCCTACCCGCGGCTGCTGCTGCCCGGAGGGGGGGCGCATCAGCCGCTGAGCCCTGCGACCGGGGGGGCCGGCTGCCCTTACCAGCAGCCCCCGGAGCTGCCCTTCATGCGTTACTGGGGCGAGCAGGAGAGACCCTACGGCGCCTTGCCCGCCGGCATAGACCTTTGATTCCTTGGCCGTCGGACAGGAGAGGGCAGTGGGTCTCCCCTTCCCCCTGCTTCTACTCTGAGCGTTGGGGGGGGGGGGCCCAGGCTGCGTTTGGATTGATAACGGGGACCCCTCCCTTGTTAAGGCAATAACGGAAGGGGTGTCACAGGCAGGCGAGATTTGATGCGCGCTGCCTCTAAAGTTAAATCGTTGAAAGGTTTTGGGGGAGCCTCGCTGGAGGAAGGGGGGTGCAAATTCGGTGGACAGGGGAACAACGCTTTTGAAAAGAGGAGCCACAGCGGAATGGCCTTTGGGAGTGAGCCTGTACTTCCCTTGCTTTGAAAAGGGGAGGAACTGGGACAGTACCCCAGTAAGATTTGTGTTGACATTTATAAACTTCGAAGTTCAAATGAATACAGTGAGGTGTGAGTTTCACCCTGCAGCTCTAACTCTCCAAACTGATTCTTCTCCGAGCAGAGGATCCTAGAGGACATTATTTGTTCTGCAAAACTAGACCCTAATATTTTAGAAATTCCCTGTCTGCAAAGTATTTGAAATAACTAATTTGGGGTCACAACTTTCTTGTTCCAAGGAAACAATGACGCGTTTCAGACATGTTCCCTGTTAGTTATATAGTTATTGTAGAAGGTGTAATGTGTTATTTGAGTCAGAATAGTGTTAACATTTTCAGAGACGTTTATTTGTGAAAGCCGCTTTAAAATATGCAGTTACTGAAGACGCATCAAGGACAATAGATTTGAAAACAGTTGGTTGATTGGTACATCTGTTAGGAATTAAAAACCCGTCTATATTCTTTTGGATTATTGAAGTGATTTAAAGTATGCTGCCTTGTTCATTCTTCCCGGTGGCTCATGAGAAACGTGAATTTTCCACTGCATAACCGTTGTTTCTTTTATTGTGTTAAATTTAGTGGTACTAGTGAAACTGGAAATGCCTGACCTTGGGCTGTTAACTGAAAGCAAGAGAAGTTGATCAACATTTTTAAGTCAAGTCTGAGAAATTGTTTTGGGAACTGAAAGTAATGTGCCATCATTTTAAAAAGTGAAATGTAGTTACTTTCTGGAAAATACTTTTTGCAAATGTCCTTCAAAACTTGATTACTGAACTTTTTTTTTTTTTAAGCACTATGTAAAGGAATACCTTTTTTTTTTAAGATGTTAAATACCAAAGACTTTTGGGATAGATGTGATCCTTATGTTTTTATATTTAAAGATAAACTATTTGGGTTGACGTGAAGTCAGAAGGCATTTTATATACTGTTCCTTGTTAGTATAGTTGTTGTGAACATGTTTATATAATGGCAATGCCGCGGTGCTTTTGTCATTTAAATTTCAGGGGTGGCTTCAGCTCTTTTCCTGCCAAAAAAAGATTCTAAACGCCACTAGTATTTCTAATCGAAATCGCAGGTTGGTTTGTTATAGAAACGAGTGGTTGAGATACTATCAGTGTGCATAGCAGCATTTTCTGGTGTGTTACATTTTGAGACTTGTTTAAATAAATATTTGTTACTTTATAAAACATGGCTTTATTTAAACTAGTTTTTTACTGTGTTGACTTCCCTCCCGCCTTGTTTTAAAATAATGTGTAACCCAAACTAGACCAGAGTTCTAATATTTAATCTTTAAAGTAGTTTTGAATTTGTTCTTCTTCAAAATAACTTCCATAATACAACACACACAAAATTTTAGCAACCTTAGTAGATTTTAGTTATGGGACTATCCTTTGGTGAAGCAAGTGTGTATATAAGAAATATCCATTTGTTGCAGTATTAAGATTTTCAGAGAAATAAGTAATTTTCCACTGTTGCTTTAATGTGAATCCTAATATATTGTTCAACAAACCACCTGCTGATTATAGTTGAACTTCAGGTATTAAATGCAGAAAAAAAGCTACACAGAGAAATAATTCTGGAATTTTACAGTTGATAAGTTCCATGGAAAAGAGGTTTTTCCCTCACTGTAGTTAATCCACCTTTATGAGATGTGGTAGCTAGGTTGGTAGAAGAATCCTTCTATTGACCTAGCTGCATTTACATGTCGGGGGGCTAGGTCGACCTAACTACGGTGCTCAGGATGCAAAATTTTTCACAGCCCTGAGCAGCTTAGGTAGGTCAATCCAATTTTGAAGTATAGACCAGGCTTTAGACTCCCCTAGAGGTTAATGAGAGACAAAGACAGACTACAGAAGAGGCAGCAGAAGGAGTAAAATAAACTGTAGAGACCTGGGATAAATTCAGTGTGTTACTGGAGCCTCTGCCAAGATGGAATTTTTTTCCCCAGTAACTTTTGAGGGTGTGTGTGTGTGTGTGTGTGTGTGTAAGTAACTTAAAAAGGAAATTTTGGTTTTTTCCCCTCTCATAACTCAATCTTTGAATGGGCTTTCCTCAGATTTATATATATTCTCTCGCTGTGTATGAAATACATATGAATTATAAAATATATTCAATAAAAACCCTAGACTGGAAGCAGGGATGGAAAGTCTAGTCCCAGAGGAGATCTTTTCAGAAAGTTATCACCAAGCAAAAAGAAGTTAATAATGGAAGTTCATGTTCTTTAAAATTTGCTGCTATATAGCATATATATGACATATATCAAATATGCATAATATGTATGACTGTGTCTATGAGTGGGAGAGAAATAAACCTTTCAAAAATCTCCATAATAAAAGGAGACAACTGATTGATTGGTTTTGTGCTTTATTACAGATATCAGGACTTGTTGGATAGTGTTAGGGTGACCAGATGTCCTGATTTTATAGGGACAGTCCCGATTTTTGGGTCTTTTTTTTAATATAGGCTCCTATTAGCCCCCGCACCCTGTCCCAATTTTTCACATTTGCTGTCTGGTCACCCTAGATAGACATTCTGATACAAGGAAAGGCAACACACTGTCTGCAAATGAGGGAAAACTCCATGCAGGACTTGCTGTTACTGGTCGGCAGCCACAGGTGAAATGTACAAGACCTATCTCATAGAACTGGAAGGGACCTCGAAAGGTCATCGAGTCCAGCCCCCTGCCTTCACTAGCAGGACCAAGTACTCAGGGCCGGCTCCAGGCACCAGCTTGCCAAGCAGGTGTTTGGGGCGGCCTCTCTGGAGAGGGGCGGCATGTCCAGCAATTCGGCGGACGGTCCCTCACTCCTGCTTGGAGCGAAGGACCTCCCGCCTAATTGCCGCCACAGATCGCGACCGCGGCTTTTTTTTTTTTTCCCGCTTGGGCGGCAAAAACCCTGGAGCCGGCCCTGCGAATACTGATTTTTGCCCCAGATCCCTATGTGGCCCCCTCAAGGATTGAACTCACAACCCTGGGTTTAGCAGGCCAATGCTCAACACATTCGGCTCTCCTGCTGTTCGCATCTATAACATTCCAGCTTCCATCAGAGTGCGTGTTAGCCTTTCAAAACTAGGTAGAAGAACTTTGAAAATAATGATTTCCATTTAAATAGGGTGGTGAATTGTTTTGTTTAGTTTTTCAGTGATTTGGCCGGTTTCTAGAAGTGTGACTGGGCAGCCAGGGTGTGAGCTTGTAAACTGTTGGCAGGGGTATGATTCGTGGGGGAGGGGAGGGCAGGGGAAGGTAGTGGTAATACTCTGCTCTGTTCTTCCTGTAATCCCAAAATGTGAACACAATCCCAGAGAAGAGGAATGCTTCTGCTAAAAGAAACCATAGTGAAATGGTGACTTTTAAAATATTGTGTCATGGCTTCAGAGCCAACACCACCAGTGTGATGAAAGGCGTAAGTTCATACCTTTCATCTACAGCTATTGTTTTGGGCTGTCTGCAGACTCAGAAAGATAAACACACCAGTTTATATTTAGTTCACATTCAGAAAATGTTATTTGCAGCCACACTAGGAAAGTCTTAGATTGCAAACTCTCTGGGGCAGGGACTATTTTTGTTCTGTATTTGTACAGCGCCTAGCACAGTGTGGTCCTGGTCTATAACTGGACCTCCTAGGTGCTACTGCAATACAAATAATGAGAGAACAATTTTTTAATGTTAAACAAAAATTGTGCAGAAACTGATGGGGTCACCACAGACATGCTGGTCTGGAAGGCCACCAAATACCACCAACCCCTAGCAGTTGGATATTTCAGCTGAGGCTGCTAGCTGAGGGTGAAAAAGTGCTTTATTCCTGACAGCAGTTAGATGTTTGGTGCGCATGAAAGCATTAGATAGTAATGCTCTAACCCGGGGGGAGGGGGGCAGGAGGAAGTATTTTTTGTGTCCCCCAAGGGTCCCCTGACTTTTTCTCTGGCTCACTTCCCACCCTATGGAAAGCCTCATTTTATTACCACGTGCTAGCAGATGGGACTCCTTAGATTCCATCAGTGTGCCTCCTGTATCATCAAAGAGTGGGGCAGGGTACAGGGCGTTCATCTCTGGTTGCTAAAATGTTATAATTTTTAAATTTTGGTGCTTGTGAGAGGTGCCGAAGACCAAAAGTCTCCCTCCCATGCACAAAACAAACACTGCCTCAGCTGTGCAAGTGTCTCCATACTGCTCCACTTGTGTGCATTGCCATTGCCCTTCGCTTCTCTCTTAAGACTGCAAAAAAGGGTTCAATTTCCCTGTGGGTTTTAATTCTGCAGCTAGCTGGACTGAGACCATCAACTCCTTGAACACGGGGTACTGAGCAGCCACCCAAGCGGTAACAGCTTTCAGTTGCTACTTGCATGGGTTTTCATTCAAGCCAGTGACGTTGAGGTGACTCCGATTTGTATTTTCAGTCCTGTATGTCATCCATTCACCGTTCTCTATCTACAAGGGGAGAGCGGGTTTTCATTAGTATGGTGATGTAGTCTTATTCCTAGGCTTGGCTGCAGGTTAACTTCATTCTTGGTCCTGGCTCTACCCTGTGGTGGAGAGGGGAAGGGTCTCTATTTTCCTAACTGTAGGAATTGCTGTACCTATGCCCAGTGACCCAATATATGCAGCTTCCTTTGCATTTCGTGAATTTAAAACCAAACACCCTGTAGCTGGAGTCACATAAGGTAGTTT